CGCTGGCTAAATAGAAAATATAACCTATACTATATAGCGCATTGTTCGGAGGCCAGGCGCCACCAGACGAAAATGGCTGGCGGCATCAGCCAAAACAAAAGAAAAAAGGTCACGCTGGCGCTTAAGCAAAGCTTGGCGCGCATTTCTTCTCAGCCTCGGCAAAAGGAGGCTCGGGGTTAGTGGTGGTTAAAAAAGGAAAGAAAAGAAAAGAAAAGAGAAGAAAGCTAGACAGAGCAAAACCCACAGAGAATGGTTCATGAACTGATTTATGGCGCTATTCATATGGTATCATCTTTTGTTCATTTCTTTTTCAAAAAATGGGCCCTCTTTCCAGCTATTAATTGAAATAAAAATCATAAAAAAGAAAAAAAAAGAAAGAAAAAAAAACTTCCCAATTTCTGTGGTGAACGATCTCCAAGCCGTAGAAAACAGACAGTAGAATCACTCAGAAGTATGGCACTTAAGAGCATACTCGCATTAGCTCTCTCTGGAATGCATCTGACCGTATTTACGGCTGGACCTGGATGTATCTGACTGCAATTACGTCCATAAATGAATAAAAAAAAAAGTCCTTGTGTGCGTATGCCCTTACAAACCCAATGAAACAAATAGCAGCGGCACAATTCGTTCCAGAGCCAGGGTCATCCCTGCATAGGACACAAGTCTCACGCCAACATCCACATCAAACAGATCATTGGAGTCTTTGCTCAAACGCCCATTAACTCCATTTGTTGAACCAGTCCCATCCTTCAACTCACCCACCTCGACACGTGCCGGTTTGAGATGTCGAATACCCGTGCTCATGCATTCTACACGGGAACGAGCTCCCTGTCCTTCTGTTTCGCGGCAGCGATTACCCTTTTGCCGATTTGCTCGCGCAGTTAGGGTTGGCTCACGATGCTCCACAGCCTTACCGTTCCGCTCTTCCGATGCTAGCAAGTCTATCCCCTTGCCAGGCTCGCCTAACGTCTGCCTGTTGATGTAATTCCTGTAATTCCTGGCTTTGTGCCACTTCTCCTGAGCATCGGCGTCAACGAATTTTCTTGACTTCGGCGAGGAATAAAGTGGGGGGCAAGAGTCACAAGACCTTCTATACTGAAGTTCAAAGATGTACTCTGAGCTGTACACAGGCAGCCCGAAGAATCGGGCTGCCATTGGAAGAACCTTTTTTGCTATACCTTTGCTAAGGGATTTCGCCAGCAGAATCGCAGGGTATCCTGCAACCAGGAAAAGAAAACACAGTCAAGAGTCAGACCATACTTCGCACTGGCGCAATCTTAAATGTATCTGACCGCAATCATGGCCATGCTTGGATGCTTCCGACCGTACTTGCACAGCTGAATTCCAACTACTTAAGCGATTGATGCCAAGAGGCCAACTAAATGAAGAGCATAAGAAAAGTGGAGCGCAAGGATTCCCGACCTCATTCGTTTTGAATCAGGGTAGAGGGGACCAAAAATTGGGCACTATCTTAGTATATTTGATTCTGCAGCTGGGCAACCGCAGCCAGGCTACAATCCGGGCCTCTGGGGTCACCTTGGTTGCCCGGGACGTCACGCCAGGCAAGGGCCCAGGAAAGTCCCCGCCCAAAAAAAAGAAAAAAAAAAAAAGAAAGAGAGAAAGAAAGAAAAGAAAGGAAATCCAAGAAGAAAGAAAGAAAAGAAAGGAAATCCAAGAAACCTGGAAAAAAACTATGTTATGCAGAAACAGAAACTGAGCAACTATTGCCTCACGGTCAAATCCAAATCCCTTACCAAACAAAATAGTACATAGTAAATAATAAAAAGCTTTTTACTATTTGGTAACCGTCCAAACGTCCGGACTGGGTTCCAGACAGTCTGGTGTCCGGCGTCCAGCGTCCGGTGTCCGGTGTCCGGTCCTTATGTCCGGATGGAAGCCCCTGGGGCAAAAAAAAAAAACAAAAAAAAACGGGGCAGCCCAGGACGTTTACCCGGCCATGAAGTTATGAACTTAAATTACTAAATCCAAAGTTCAAAGTTCAAAGTTAATCATACTTTTTTGAAGTTTTTGCAAAAAACAATTCTCTGTTTCTTTAGTCTTGTGCCTGCTTTGCACTGTTTGCAACTCTGCATGTCTGCTAGTTAAATGTGCTTGTTGATTTGCTGCAAGACACGTGCTCTGCTGCCTGAACTACAGAGTGCACCCAACCCCCCAACACCCCCATGCTGATACAAAGGGTTTGCTGATACTGG